TTCATTCTTGTATTAATATGCAGGTTAATAGCATTTAATAAAATAAAAATTAATTTTAGCTTCGATGCGAAGCGGAGAAGGTATTAATTTTACTATGATGTGTTTTTTTTTTTTATGTCTGTTGCCACTTTATTATTAATTAATCAAGATAATTTTAAGTATACTTTTTGCTTGAAATACTCATCAATGTAATCTAAATATATTTTAAAGACATTTTTAACATATAATTTATTTAAACAAGGTGAATAAAATACTTTATAAAGTTAAGTAATATTTCTGGACGGTTTTTTTAGAAGGTGGTAATCAATTGAAATGTTGTCATTTTTAGTTTATTTATTTATTTTTATTTTATTGTTGGAAATTTCCCACTGCGTTTAATAGTATCGATGTTGTTTTTGTAAATAGTTAAATTATTTTTTAATTGAACTTCAAAATTCTCATCTACTATCAAGTACAAATATTCAAGATTTTAATGTCTTGAAAAATTACCATTTTTGACTTGATTACTTTCTCATGAAAATGCTATTTTAATTTTATATTTCATAAGGTTTTGGAGTCTACAATAGCATGGCATGCATCATTGTAGACAATTACATGCCAAAACTACTCTTCCCCTAAATCCATTTTGAAAGCCGAAAAAAGGATGTAATAATACGTTAGTAAATTTTTTTTAATTTATGTAAACTAGAATAAACTTATTACTATTTTAAGGGCTCATATTTTTTACATTTTATCATTAACAATACTTAAAGCTATAATTTAATTTGTTTAAGTCTAGTTGTTCTATAAAATTTGAATTGGGAAGTTATTGTATGTCCATTCTATTTATTAAATAACATTAAAAAAGACAAGAGCAAAAAAAATCCAAAATTTCAGATGATTATGATTTTTTAAATTACTGGTTTAGAGTTATAGCACAATAATCGCAGTCCATGCGGACTTATTGGGCAACTACCCCATATGTCATTGAACAATAGTACTCCTTTCCTGGATAGTAATGATCAAATAAAATTATTATTAGTTAAAATAATTAATCAAAATTTTATTCCGTTAATATTGTAACAAAATTGAGAGTTCATATATTCAGAACATTTAAAACATTCAGAATTCATATGTGAATTCTGAATAAAATCAATTAATTAGTTTACTCCTTCCCTAACCACGCGGCATGGATAATTTATTTATAAATAATAAATTGTAAGTTATAAAATATTTATTTTTTGAGTGTTTTTATGTTTTTTTTTTATCACCATATTAAAATAAACATGGAGATGTAGTAGCATCTCTCTCTATTATTCAATCCGTGGGTTAGTTTGCAGCCATTTTCCATTCTTCTCTATTATCCGCTTTCCTTTTCATTTCTACATATGAGTTACATCCTTGGTCTTGTATTATCTGTTGAATATATTCCAATCTTGGTCTTCTCCTATGGTTCTTCCCCTCTACGCTTTCTTCTATTATCAGTTTTAACAATCCTTCGTGTCGCATTATGTGGCCTATCCATTCATTTCCGTCTCCTAACTATATTATTCCATAATAACTTCTTCCCTTCTGTTTTGCAGTAGTATAACCAAGATTTTATCAATTTCATAAAAAATACTTTTCGATAAATAAAAAAGTTATTGGAAGACTAAAAATACGGCAACTATGGCCCTCTTCTCTTAAAAATCCTTACCACATCTTTTTCTGAATGTATATTACAAGTACTATGAAAGTAATTATTTGTGATTTTGTTTATTTTTGATTAAACATTAATCAAATATGTATGTTCAATAGTATAATTCTTATTCAATATTAATTTTAATTTTTATATTTATGAATGTTTTCAATAATTTAACATTATATAACACTTTATATTACTTTTATATACCAAAATGTTTAGTAATATGGAAGTAATTAAGTAAGTCTTTATAATAAACGTTTGTTGTGCATATCCTGTTCCTAAGTACTAGTGCCGCGGGAGTGGTTTCCTATTTTGTATCTCCTGCAGCTCAAGTGCTTATCAACGAGAATAATTGCATTATTTCTTCATCGTCGTGATTTGGCTCATAGAATTCTGCTACATATTATATTAATACATGCTGCTATATTAAGCAAAGAAAAAATTCAAAATACATCATTGCAAGAAACCATTGTGGATTGATGGAATGAAAACATCATTTTTTTGTACTAATATTATTTTATTTTATTTGTGTTAATATATTTATTTAAAAAAGGTGATGTTAATAATAATTAAATTATTAAGTAATACTACATTTTTTGAAATTTGAGTGTCATATTTTATTATATATTTTGTAATTGTATAACTAGGTATTTGTCTTAGGGGGGGGATATACAACAAAAAAAATTTCATAACCCTCTTCAATCTGTGTATTACATCACTAAGTGGTGGCTCGTAAGTAAATATTTTAGGGAGACTGAAAATGATGATAAATAATAATAGTTTTTATACTTAACATAAACACACAATATATTAATGATCATACAAAAAAGTCTTTTATTGATCAAAAAACCTAAAGCAACTAAATTTAAACAGAATTAAAATAAAGCTTTTGTAAACTAAAGAAATTATGCGTTCTTTTTAATCAACTCTTTAATAACACTCAAAAGTTGTAAATTCTCTTACTATAACTAGTAAGCCATGAAAATTTATTGTACCAACTGTTCTGAAATTTCCTAACATGTTTACATGTTAATAATAAATTAGAAGTCGGGCGATTACATTTTAATTGTTTTTTTTTGTTAAAGTATTGAAATTATTAGATAATAAAAAGCCCATCATCTGATTTTAAGAATTTTTTTAAAGAAATTTTTGTTTAAAAAATTCAAAATAATAATTTACAATTTAAAAAATAACGACGGCGTATAGTACGCAACGTTTATCAAATCGAAACGACGTGTAATATTGTGAATTCCCAGTTTCAATATTGGCTATCATAGTAAAATTAATATTAATTTTAATATGCTGTCTATAATATGCCGCTTATTCTACCCGGTCTTCTCTTCTTACCAGGTTTGGTCATTTCATGTTATAAACTATAACAGGTGGACAACAGTTTCACTGAACCGGCTACCGTCAATCGAATTATTAGATAACATTATTATATTTTAGTAATTTCCGTCAAAATAAATATTTATAGATTTTGTGGCCGTCGTTCATCAATAATAATGTAGAAAAATGAGACGATAACTTTTTAAATTTCTATAAAAATATTCTCAAAAATTATCATTATTTATAAATTAATTACTATTTGCTAGTTGCTAGTTTTTTTTTTAGGGGAGACTCAGTTTCAAAGTCGCCACTGAACTCACAACTCCCTTCGTAATTACGCCAGTTTCTAATTAATTATCCATATTATTTCATTTTACTTTTTATTTTTATACAAGTACATATTACTGTTTACCTGTGTTACAGATAACACCCACTGTTCGGATCACCCGGGAGAGGCTGATAGCGCTCTGCACACCCTTTTTCGGTGCGAGGCGTGGGCCCAGGAACGGGACTCTCTGGAGTCCCGTCTAGGGTCCACGCTCTGAGTCGGGTCCCTGGTGGACCTGATGTTGGGAAGCCGGGAGGCGTGGAGGCTCGTCCAGGCGTTCGCCGAATCCATCTTAAAAAAGAAGGAGGAAGCTGAACGCCTGAGAAAGAGGCAGCCGCGCCGCCCGGTACAGGAGGACCTTAGGCGCTGGTTTAAGCCGGCGCCTTAGGTATTTTGTGTTAAATTTTATGTGTTGTGAGTTATTTTTGCCCCCCTCGCATTGAACGGGGGAGGCCACTCCACGTTGTGAATCAGCTCTTGATTAATTTCGGGCTGATTCACAACGTGTTGGTATGAGTTTTAAAGACGGCGTGGGCCGCCCTGAAGTAATACCTAACGGTAGTTCCAGGGCGTCCTATAACTAAACCGGTCGTGAAAAAAAAAAAAAAAAGGTAACACCCACTCGAGTAGAACTTATGTACTCTTTCAATCCATAAATATTATTTTATATCCTTCTTTCAATAATATCCGTAGGAATAATCTATGTGTCCAAACAACTTTTGAAAGTTGTTGTGAGTGTTGGATTCACTAGCTTGATTAATATTTTTCATTGTCATTATATTTTAGTAGACGTAAATAGTATAATCTATTTTGTCATAATGTGTTGATGATAACCTTATAGCTGAAATATTTAAGGGAATCTCAAATTTTGTAAACTTATATAATATATAAGTTTAATAATATAATATAATATGCAAAATTGCATATATATTTCACATTGGCTTTCAAGGGTATATTTATAAAGAAGAGAAAAAGAGTAGTTTAGTCCCTTTTAGTTATCACAATTGGTTAAAAGAATATGTTTTTAATATTATAATGACCAAATCGAATTAAAAAAGATCTCCTTTAATAATGACTTGACTAAGCTCTTGTTGGTATGATAAATTATAAGAGTAGTCAATTGCCTTTTAGATAAATTAATTTTGCGACCCCTTAAATAATTTAAGCACAATTATAGGGTTCTAATTTAGTTACTAATAAAATTTATTATTTAATGGAAGTCACGGTTATTCCTATATATATACACTAAAGTAAATTAATTTACATAATTGGTGAGTACTGAGGCCGGTTCAAGCCTCAACAATTTTAATAGTCCTATTATTTTTTAAAAGGTGCATGATACAATAAAAAATTCAATAATATTGAATGTTTTTCAAAAATAACTCGAAAAAATTATTGATCTTCATTTTTAAATCAATATTAAAATTATAAAGCTAAATAATATATCATCAGTACTCCACCGTACAATATAATTATTATATTATTTTAAAAACATTTTAATAGCAGGGTAAAAAAAAAAGAATCATAAAAATATTGTATTTTCTGTTTTCCAAATTCTGGAGAAAAATTTTATTAAGAAGAATTGAGGTCATTTTGGCTTTTAACAGCTGTTAATATAATGATAACGTTATCTTTTTTACATTATCAAATATACCTTTTAACTGTATGCCATAATTTTTTTTTGACAAATATACAATCATAAACCAATGGAAAGTATACTCAAAATTTGTCTTTAACAATCTTAGCTATAATAATTATTTTTTTAATTTTAAATAGATTGAAATTGTTATAGAACTATTCATCAAAAATTAAAATGTAACTTTATTTTATTTATTGTATTTAATTTAGAGTTTATTTATAATCTTAAATGATTTTTTAGATAATTTTGTTTATAAAGTAAATAATTAACTTGAGAAACAAAGTTTATGTATACTATGGAAAATTTAAACATTAATCATCAATTGACTACATTTAATAGAGAAAACTCAGAGTAAGATTTGTTACTTGTATAGTTATACAATTGTAACTATAATTAATATATATATATATATATATTAATTTTTATAATTTTAGTCAAAAACATTGTTGGGTTTGTTTTGGAACTGATGATGATGAATTCGAAGGAAGTAGAGATTGGGTATCACCATGTAAATGTCGAGGATCTACACGTTGGGTAACCATAATTTAACTTCTTGATAATGAAAGGAAGATTATATTTTATTTACTATAATTTATCTTATTAACTTTTTTTAGATTTTTATAGTGTTTACTTTAAATGTAATATTTTAGTGTACACATTGAGTTAATAAAATGTGGAAATAATATCTTTAGATTTCTTTTTATGTTTTGATTGTATATATTAAACTAATAAAATAAGAAATTCTTACTGTTTTCTTATATTAAGCTGACTCTTAATATCTCACAAAGTATTGTATGACTAGTATCACTATTAAATAATACACTATGAATTTTGAAACAACATTTTAGTAAGAAAATGATTATAACAACTGCAAGTTAGCATTTTCTAAAGTATAGCATCTTTTTAATTCATAAAATACTATAGTTTTATTAATTTATATTTTCATTACTATAGCAAATGCTAATTGTTTTAACATTTTAATATTAATATTTTCCTATTACATTACTGAAAAAGTGTTATACTTAATATTGCAACAGATATCATATGTTTATTTTATCTTCTGAACTAATAGTATACTTAATACTCCTATACAAAAGAAATTTAATTGACTTAAGGTGAATGTTCAATGATATTGGGTCAACTAAGGTTCCTTTGATTATGTTGATGAGGATGCTGCTTGACATTTAATTATTTGCTCATCATTTCAACAAAATAAATTTTTATTTTAAATTATATTGTGACCTTTTCAATAAAATTACATTTTATATGACTAAATGAAACAATTACTCTTTTAGGTACATCAAATTTGTGTTCAACGTTGGGTTGATGAAAAATTAAAAGAAAATTCTAGTATTGAAGCTCATTGCCCACAATGTAACACTAAATATATAATAGTATTTAAAGATGTCAGTAAGTACTGTTTAACTTATAGATTTACTTAAATAATTAAAATAAAAAGAAATAATAGTTATGGGGGAATCCCTGGCAAGTGGATTTTCCCCTTAGGGGTAGAATACAATTTTGCCAATGAATCCCAAAAAAATTTCTTTAGTATTGCTATTCACCAAAATATTGATAGGTAAAAATAAAAAATGTCAGTCATCAAACATTCTTTTTCTGCATTGTTATGAAAAATAAAAATTCAATTTATAGTTGTAGATATAACTTATAGAGGGTATAAATTACACATAAAAAAAACTTAAAATATCATTGATTAAACAATACAAAAATTGTTAGTTGTATAATTTTTTCAGAGTAATTAAATAATAAACAAAAATCTTTTTATAATTTCCTACATTTTACCTTAGTCTAAAAGTAGTTATTAATTATTTGATAAATTCCAATTATATTTTTACATACTGTAATATATACACATTTTCACATATAAAATACTTGTCCAAATATTTAATCTATAATTTTTATCATAATATTTAAATATCATTGACACTCTCTAATTTTTGTTTTTTTTATTTATATTAATAAAAGACATAGAATTCCTTAATGTATTTATTTATCAATAAGTAGATATTAAGAGTGAAGTAATATAAATGTGTTTATACAGGGTGTTCAGTAAGTCAGGAAACGGGTTTCTATTGTTCTCATTGTTACAAACAACGAGAACAATAGATACCCGTTTCCTGACTTACTGAACACCCTGTATGTATGATATGTTAGCATAAATAATAACTTATTAGGTATTATTAACATATACAATCAATTTAACTAAAAATACTATCAATTATCATATTAAATAGTTATCAAAGACAAGTTTTTATTTTGTAATTGATTATGGTTTTTATAAAGACTTACAATGTTTTTTTATAAAGTATCTAGTATGAATTTAATATCGTAGATAAAACAATTTATAACTTGATGTTTTACTCTTACATTACTATTTATAAAAGACAAACTTGGTTGAGCTTAATAAGCTTAATAAGCTAATATTTAATAAAAAAAATTAATACTAAGAAAAGCAACTAAGAAACTGATTAAAGAATATATTTTTATTATATAAGAGTTATGTACAATAAATAAACTAACTGGCTTTATAAAATATTTTAACCTATTTACCATTAACATTATTCTTATTACCAAGTACTGGTAGATATTTGACAGTCTTAAATAGTTAAAAATGTACTGTATAATGAAAAAACAAGCTGTATAAAAAAAAGAACAATGCATCTATTATAATACTAACATTTTTATTAATTGTTAATAGCATTATTACTCGCCACTCATCCGTTCACCTAGCTACCTAAATTTTTTTTTAGTTTTTGATAAATGTCCAATTAGAACTATGTTTACCATGTAACTTATTTTTAATTTAAATATGGTAATTTAAAAAAAATATTTGAAGAAGTTCTCTTTATCACTTCTTTTTCTTTTGAACATTTTTTTAATTGAGCACTTCAATAAGATAAATTTGACTTGATAGTTATTAATGTTAGTAGGATAATATTCAGCAACTGTAATTTTTTAGAGTTTTATATGCCTTTTTTTATTATTTTGTAAAATAATTTAACTAGGTCAATAAATATTATATAAGTAGATATTATAATTTTAGAATAAATTATTTTAAAAGCAAATTATAATATTTAGTTTACTTATTTGTAAATTTGTACATGTTTTTTTCCTGTTTAAACATTAATTATACGAGTTAGACAAATTAAAAGATTACAAATCAAATAATCAAACAATTATCTTCATCAAGTCAAAAAAGTCTCATTACACTATTATAAATTTTTTTTAATAAAAAAATTGGTCACTCAAAATTTAAAAAACTTCATACATTTGACACATTTATTTAAAAACATATTAATACTTAATTTTATAAAAATACATCATAAATACTAAAATAGTTAATTATTTACATGTGAATAATTAAAATAATTAGTATAATGTATATTTATAAAAAGAGTAACATAAAAAAAAAAAAATCTAGCACAGTGGGGCGTGGCATAGTTAGGCCCAGTATAGATGATATCTGACAGTAATTAAAATCACTATCATAAAAAATGCTTTAATGCAAATCTGTAGATAGTGTTTAATTTTAAAAAATTGGTGAATTAATCCAAAAGCTACATGATCTCCTATTTCCTTATTTATATAATAGTATTTATTATAAAAAAATTCTATTAATCCATATATTTTTCAAAAAGTTTTAACATTATAAAATTAAAAATATAAAAAGGAATTTTTTTATAAAAATTTTATTTTTTTTATTAACACTCATATCTGTTTTCACAATGAAAACAAAATAAAGTCCATAATTTTTTTTTCCATAATAAAGTATATTACATAAGCTTTAATTTATGGTATATATAAGTGTCAGTATTTCCGAAACACTTTCAAAAGATAATTTGAAAAAGTTGCCATTTTAAAACCTTTCCTGTGGACTGGTAAAGGGGAAAATGTTTACAAAAATATATCAAATGATAGGTAAATACCTAAGATATTTATAAAAAATATATTGATTAGGTTATTTTTGAAAAAGTTATGGCAGTTTTAAGTAAAAAAAATGTAAAAAATGTAAAAAATTAGCGATTTTTAATTTTGTAATTTTTTTGGAGATTTCCCCCATTTACGGGGAACGAGAGAAATGTATTAAATTTTTGTGGGTAATGTCTTTGACTAGATACAATTTGTGATTTTTTTGACGTATCATTGAAAAAAATCGGTTTAGTAAGGAGCTGAGGAAAAGTGGTAACAGACACACAAAAAAAAAAAGTAAAAAATAAATACATCATAGTTAAATTAATATCTTCTCACCTTCGTATCGAAGCTAAAATAAGTGTTCATACATTTATATATTAAAATTAATAATAGATGCAGATAGTATTTAAATAGGAAAATTATAGACTCTTGTTAAAGATAGCAGAGAAAGCATAATAGTTGTGTTTTGGTAGCCATCAATGGCAATAGTATATGTGTATAACATTTTGATAAAACAAAAATGTACATTTCTTTTAATTAAACCAATAATGATACCGATTGCTGTTAGTGAATTAGTCAACTAAGAAAATATGATATATTGCTGATATATATATATCAGCAATATTGCTTAAAAAAATAAAGGAAACACTCCGAACTTAACATTATATTGTAACTATATATAATAAAACTGGTTATTTTTAAATTCTTAAATTTGTCAAAAATTAATTAAAATACTTTAAAAGAGAGCCGTGTTAAAAATAATTTCAATGGTGCCAAAGCTGGCTATAATGTTAAGGTCATATTATAAACAATTTTTAATTTTTTAAGAAATGCTAGATATAAAGATTGTGTATAAATCTAAAACCTTTCATCATTGTAAAATTTTATAAAAACGTAATAAAAAAACCTGTAGACCTTGTGAAGGCATAAGTTTAATTTTTTTATTTAAGTGAGAAAATTATAATATAGAGAAAAGCAACGTATATTTTTAAAAAAATGTCGAAATAATATGCAAGTATTAAAAAACTAAAATTGAGCAATTTGTGGATATTTCTATAAAACAATGACCTAAATCATATCACAAAAAATGTTAAAGAATGGTTGTTATTCAAAGTGTCAAGCAACTTAACATACCGTCACAAACATCAGATATAAATACAATAGAACATGTATGGATTAAAATAAGCATAAGACTTAAATATATTATACTCTAATATAAAAAAAATTAAAAAATGCAATACATCAACTGGAATAGTATTAACGATACTATTTCAGTGAAATTAGTAGAATCAATGCAATAACGAATGCACAATGTCCTCATAACTAAAGGAATGCTAACTGACTATTAATAAAGCTAAATATATGATGAATATTGTATATATTTTTTTATTTAAAAATATTTATGTTATTTTCTTTGTAAGTTTTTTGATGAATTTTTTCTATATATACATACAAGTTAATTATAAATTAATTTTATATCTATTTAATTTTAAGTTATATTTTATATGTTTTTAGATAAATGTGTTTTAATAGTATAAAAATTTCAAATTTTAAGTGACCATTTTTTGTCAAAAAAATTGATAATATTGTACGAAAACATTATTTTTAACCCATAGTAATTTTTGAACAATTTAAATGTTTACTTTTAACCTATAAATTATCTTTATTTATAAATATTACTCATATATTATAACAAATAATACAGTAAATAATTACACGTTTTTAAATAAATCAGTTTGAATGAATATATATATATTTTTTTGTTAGATAAGATTTTCTGTCTTTAATGTAAATAAGTACTATAAGATAATGTATAAAATCCAAATTAAGAACTATATAAGCATCCATCTCAAGAAAATATTAATTTTATTACTTATAATTTAATTCTTAATTTTCTGTTAATTTTATTGTAAGCTATTTCATTTTTATAGATTACTTTGTGCAACTTTTAAATAAAATTGATAAAACTTCCAATCAGTTATGTCCATTTTTAGCAGCTGGTGTTGTTGTTAGTACACTTTACTGGTCTGCTGCTTCTTATGGAGCAATTACTGTTATGCAGGTACTAATTTTAAAGTAATAACAAAAAATTGAAAATTCTTGTGTATTTATAGCTTGCATGTTTTAGGTTATGGGAGAAGAAGAAGCTATATCTATGATGGAAAATACTGATCCATATTTATTACTTTTAATGTTACCAGCAATACCCCTTACATTGGTATTGGGTAAAACTATAGACTGGGAAGAAACATTACTTTTAATGATTCAACGTTTCACTTCTAATCTTCCTTTTTTAAGAACCATCATGCCTTCATTTTTGTAATTATTAAAATGATCTTTTCTTGAATTTTATCAAATTAACATAATTTGTATTATATTTTATGTAGGTGTGAACCTATTAATAGAGTAAACAGTAATAATCCAGTACAGTTTAATCCTGTTATCAGTCCTACAACAACTCTCTGTGCTGCACTATTATTGCCTACTACATCAACATTAGTTGGAAATATTTTATTTGATAGTAGTTCATACTCTAATTTTCAAAAAACATTATTGGTAAAATAATATAATTATGTTTTTCATTTTAGTATATAATATTTGATGATTTCCTTGGTTTAGGGTGGACTAGTTTACATTGCAGTCAAAGGTGTGTTAAGAATTTATCAAAGACAACATAATGCCATTAAAGATAAAACCCGTAAAGTCATTGATTATCCTGATTCTGAAAGTGAAGATGGACATCAATTAAATATTCTATGACTTATTGCATCACTAGCTTAGTAATTGAAATAACTAAATTATAATAAAAAAGATTTGTAATATAATAATATATGTTGTAAAATTTTTAATTTTAAGTAAAATGTTTAAAAAATTGATTTTTGAAATAGATAATTTATATTTAATAAAGTATTTATCATTTTTAAAAAATATATATTTTTTTCTATTATTTTAAAACTGATTAAGTAGATTTAGTTTTGTTATTTCTGAATTGTTAGCATATAAAGTCTCATGAGGCTATGATATTACATCATTTTCATACTACTCAATTTAATGTTATATTGATCAAATTTATATTCAAGCCATTAACTTAATTTCTTTATCAATCTTTAATAGACAAACCCCAATATTGAGTTAACTATTTTATGAATTTATATCTAAGATCAAGTTAATAATTATTGAAAAGTCTTCTTTTATTTAATAACGTATAGTATTAATAATGAAACTCACGGAATTCCTCACATTTTTCCATATTTCATTAGGCCGCTTGTCTAATCATAAATAAAAATAAATAAACAGTGCTTATGCATTATAATCAAATAACATATTCAATTACTTTATACTAACTATGATTGAAAGAATTTTAAAAAACCCAGCACGGGGGGTGACGTGCGATAGTTAGATCAAGTATAATAATATCTGACAGTAATTAAAATCACTATCAAAAAAACGCTTCGATGCCAATCTTTAGATAATGTTTAATTTAAAAAAATTGCTGGATTATTCCAAAAGCTACATGATCTGATATTTCCTTATTAATATCCTGATTTAGAAAAAGTATGTCAAATGAAAAAGGGATATAAATATTATTTCTCATAAAAAAATTATGTTGATCCATACACTTTTCAATAAGTTATAGCATTATAAAGTTAAAAATGTAAAAAAATAAAATTGAAAATTTTCACACAAAAATAGCATTTGGTAGCCATTTACACCGTGAAAACAAAATNATAAAATCGAGAATTTTTACACAAAAATAGCATTGGGTAGCCATTTTCACCACGAAGACAAGTCCAGAGGTCAATTTTTTTTTTTTTAAATAAAGTATATTACATAAGCTTCAATTTAAGATATATATAAAAGTGTCAGACCTTCCAGAACATTTTCAAAAGTTAAGTTGAAAAAGTTAATTATTTGTGAAAAAGTTGTCATTTTAAATCCCCCCTTGTGGGCAGGTTAAGGGTTAAATTTATGAAAAAAATATACCAAATGAAAGGTAATGATATTATGCATCTATATAAAAAAGAATTATATTGATATGTTCATTNAGCAACTATAAAAAAAGAATTATATTGATATGTTCATTTTTGAAAAAGTTATGGCACTTTTAAGTAAAAAAAATTGAAAAAATTAGCGATTTTTAAATTTGTAATTTTTTTGGAGGTTTCCCCCATTTACGGGGAATGAGGGAAATTTTTTCAATTTTTGAGGATAATGTTTTTGACTAGATACGATTTGTGATCTTTTGACGTATCATTGAAAGAAATCGGTTCGGTGAGAGCTGAGAAAAAGTGGTAACAGACACAAAAAAAAAAAAAATAACAAATAAACACATCTTAGTAAAACCAATACCTTCTCAGCTTCGCATCGAAGCTAATAAGATAAGTTTCGGAAATACAAAATATCGCAGACCTAACTAACATATTAGTAACTTTCGATACCATTATCATTTGAATGAATTTTTTTTCAATAATTATTCCTTAGATTAAGTTTAAATCATATACTTTAATTATTTAATCATTACTAAAAAATTACAAATTTTTATAATTTTTTAAATTTAAAAATCATATTTTAGCCTTTTATGTATAGAAATTGATGGGTTAATTATAGTTTTGGATAAGCTTTTATTGAGTTATAAGCTTTTAATGCATAGGATGAGTATGTAGTGAGGGTGAGTGCAGCTTGTTCTGGTGTACGTATGCTTCGTCCGCATTCCTTACCTATTTTATGTATTGTCTGCTTGTAACTCAAAGTGTACTTTTCTAAAACTGTTATAGACCCATCAACATTTTTTGTAAGAAAAATAATAAAAAAATGTTATTTTTAAATTTTGATTATTAGCGATAAAGTAAAAAAAAATACGCTTTAAACAAAGTTTACGAAGGAAATTAATATTAAAAAAAATTGCAACAAAATGATAATTGTATCTAAAGTTATAAGCTATAAGTTAACACGATAGCCCAGCATTTATGACAGCTTAAATAACTTTTGATCCAGTTAATTTTTTTAGACAATTTTTTTTTAGTAGTTAATAAACTTGAGGGTTATAATAATAATGTAATTAATATCATTTTTATAATTAAATAAAAAATATTTCATTTAAAAAATTTACTAGGAATGTTTAAATTAATTTCAAAACAGCCATTTTTCAGAATAGATTTCAAAAAATAATTTGAAGAAAAAAATTCTTATTAATGTTTGGTAGTTAATTTTTTGTAACATTTTAAATTTTGTCAAATATGAATTTTTCTGTATATATTTTATGGTATAAAATGCTGGCTATGTTCTATATTCTAACTAAATTAGAATTCATTTATTACGAGTCAAGATGGATATTATACTAAGTATAAGGACTATTATATTTACAAACATCGTATCAACACGATGATAAGAAATTTCATAAGGCAATTATCGAATAATTTGTGAAATAGTACACTGCATTTGACTAACTATAAATATTTTCTTACTCCCATACATAATGCAATTAAACTTATAACTTAAGTCTAAATTAGTAAATAAATTAAATAATTTCTCTTGTATTAAAATAAAATGTAATTACCGATATTTTTGGATTAATTTATTTATTATATGGTTGTACTTGAATTATTATTAAACACTCTCTTTCAACCGAAAGTAATTTTCACGGAAAAAGTTATACACTTCTAACTTATAGTATGTATAAAAAGATGGTGTTTTCTTCTGTCCTTTTTATCAATACGTTATTCAATATCTAATATCGTAAAATAATACATGAAAATTCAATTTTTCACAAACTTTAATATGATACAGAATATTTACTACTGAATTTCAATAAGATATTTTTTACCGACATTTTTCTTAAAATCTACTCTACATAATTGCTATCATGGTTTTTTTTTTTATAAAGTTGCAAACTTTATAAAAAAAAACTTAAAACTTAAAAACTATAAACTTAAAAAAAAGCATACATATTATAATGGCTTATATAGTGAAAAATGATCAACTAATTAAGAAATGACAGATCAATGACAACATTATTAACATTATAAAATACAGACTATAGAAAAGGTGCAAGTATGACCATTTTTATATCTATAAAGGTATAAAAATGTTGATAATTTCTGAACTACTAGACAAAAAGTTGTTATCGACCAGTCATTTTCTTTATTAGATTATTACCCTTGATATACGCTACACAAATAATAATAATGTTATTTAAAAAATAAAGTTGGAATTTCTTATAAAGAATGGACCTAAAAAGTTCTAAATGGTTGATAAACTAATAAATAAATAAAATTAAAAAGTCAGAAAAAAATTCTGGGTATTTTTATTATCTTAGGATATATTGAGTGGTTAATGTTAAAAGTATGTGTAAATAAACCAAAAAAATAAAGATGTTTAAATTATTGATTTTAAATTATTATTTAAAAATCTTGCATCATGTTTCAAAAGTTTTTGATGAAAACATTTCACATAAATTAACAAAATAATATGTGAAAATATATAATTATGTTTTGTCCCTATGTATTAATTTTACCAAGTACTATTTTAGTATAATAATAAAAATATAATATCTTATTAATTAACACAGTAGTAACATATGTATCTTAAAAAATATCGATTAGAGTTTGATGTATATATAAATAAATATATATATATATATATGTATGATATAAACATGAGTTACATACTCTGTTATACCCGTTTAAATTGTAATGTATTATTAAGATTTGAGAATACTTCCTTTCTTACATACATCTAGTCTCAATTGGTGTTACGAACAAATAAATAAAATTTACTTAAATAGGCGTCTTTTTCCGTAACATTATGTAATCCCAAAGTTGAAATGGTTATTGAATCTCATAAATCTCAAGTAAATAAAAATAAGATGTCGATTGACCAATTCAGAAGTATCTATTGAGGTCTAACTCCGAGTGCTGAAATGGATAATGTAGTAATTCTCAAGTTTAGATTAAATTGTTAGACATAACGACCGACTAAAAAATAAAGAAAAATGAATTATCCCAAGAGTATTTTTTATTTTTTAAATTCGGTCATCTAAGTATGATGAATGTAGTAATAATGTCAAGATATGAAAAAAGAATTGCTATATGTAGGGTATTTTTTACAATTGTCACTTTTTTTGAAAAGAATGAATTCAGTTTAGTGTAATAATTTATTTTCATCATAAATGTATGCTTTTCTTATAATAATTTCAATAGTTTAGCATTTATATTCCTATTACTCTTGGGAATATTTCGGTGGAATTGCAGTTAAAAAATCCATTAACGCAAATAAAAATCATCCGAATAAAACAAAATCTGAATATTTTTGACAACAAGATGTATATAAGCACAAGAATGTGTAAAATCATCAATAATGACAAAATATCGGTTAAAGTACAAAAAAAAAACTCTTTCTAATCAAACTTTTTATTTTATTTTAGCACTAAAATAACTTTTTTACATTATAAAATATTCTGAATAATATTCAATGAATATCTTTTATGGATTTTGATATGAATTTTTGTTCAATTCTTTTAAATCTTAATTAAAATCATCCATTAAAATTGTTTTTTTATATAATCTATCCGTCATTATAAATATTAAATAGTCATAAGGTTATTTTTGATCTAATAACCATCGAGAGTTTAAAATCCTATTGGTCTCCTATATTTCGAATTGAAGAAATGAGAAAATCTAAAATCTAAAATCTAAAATTGACAAGTTGACTTTTATTAGATGTAATCTACAATTAAGTTATAACTCTAAAAACGTGTAATAAAAAAATGGAAAATATAATAGAATTTGAACTGCCACTCGTATTTGAATATTGCAATAAAGTAAGCGCATATTTTAAACTTATTGCATTTAATAATAACAATATTTGTTATGATTGTGACAAAATAAAATATTATGAATAATTCATATAATTTTAAACTTATTGTCAATAATTTTAAGGTAAAATAATTTCCAAACCTAAAATATAATATAAATTTTGTATGCTATTTATCTTTCAGTAGTTGAATATAGTTTTAGCATTTATATTATGTAAAAACTTTAAATTCTTTATTTAAGAAATTCATAATTTTGAAAAAAAAATGATTAAGATTCTACAATGATTGGCTATTATTAGCTTTGTTTAAAATATTGAATTTCTCTAATGAACATTTCAACTGTACATATTTATCTGTATAATTAATGGTTCTTAAATCATGACGTAATTTAGAATTAAAAAATCATGAATAGGTAAATTTAGGTTATAAGAACAGTAGTATAATATTAATATAACATGATATTCTATAAAAACGTTATAAAACCATTATTATAATATTATTAAAAAAAATTCAAAAAAGTTTCTTCAAAATAAAAAAATTACATTTTCGCAGTATAATTTAACGATTTTAGAAACATGAGTTTTAGTTCGTTCAATTATCCATTACAATTTATTCTAAAATCAATAATAAAAAGTCGTAGTTAAATTAAATAGACAATATTTATATTTTATGTACTTTATGCATGAATAATTTATTAAATATATTTTTCATGTTTTGTATTATACACTCAAGGCCTCTTTTAGTTCATATAAAAAGACTTTACTTATATCAATCTTTTACGAGTCACATTTTTTTCTAATGCACTTTCAGAAAACGTATCTTTTTTCTGTGATCCATTCATTATTTTGTGAACCATAGACGTATAAATTCTATTTTATCAAAATGCTTTTTATAATAAAAAAACAGTAAAATGTTTCAATGTTTTGATAGATGCAGAAAATTGACAAATATTATTTAATAAAAATTGATAATTTCGTATTGTATAACTATCTTTATGTTACAATTAAAGTAATATATTATATACTTTTAGTTTTTTTAGCAAAATCTGATTTCAATTGATGTAGATATAACTAGAATAGTAATTTGATTACCTCGATTACTAGTGCTTTGATTTATAAAGTTCCTTAATACCAACTCTAAATCGGTCGATTAATTATTCAATTAATAAGTCAATTAATTGATTCACTTAAAATTTTTAATTGTATAACAAATGACTTGTTAAACTTAGTTACAATAATATAAAATTTGATGACAATAATTACATTTACGAAGAATAATTATTTATAGGAATGATACAGAGTGCATTTATAATTAAATAATAATTAATATAATAAACGGAATAATTATTTTAATATTAAATATTAATTGTTAATTCATTAAATTCTCTAGATATAAGATTTATTGAATTGAAAATAAATCTAATAACATAAGAAATATTTTTGGTATTATATTTTCTAAAAGTCATCCTTGATATAAATTCAATAAAAAATTCATTTAATTAATATTACAAATATATATATATATAGAGTGACCCATCATTCATTGTCAACTTAAATAACTTTTGATTCGGTTGATTTATTTTGCTATTTTTTTTTTTAATAGTAAATATACTCGAGGACTACTATAATAATGTAATCAATATCATTTTTATACTTAAATAAAAAAAAATTTAATTTTAAAACTTTTCTTTTGTCCTTGTTTCAACACCTATTTCAATATTTAATACCGTACAGTAATACATGAAAATTCAAATTTTCACAATAAGATATTCTTTACCGACATTTTTCTTAAAATCTACTCTACAAAATCCCTATCATGAATTTTTTTTACATTTTATTTAAAATTTAAAAATAGTTAATATTTTTAATAAAATGTAAAAATATAAATTATTGAAATATAATTAAAGATCTAACGTTTAATTATTAAAAATAGAAAATCAGTAATAAATATCAACTAGATCAAAAGTTATTTAAGTTGTCATTGAATGCGAGTCACTCTGTATATGTAGTGTTTCATCCTTTTTTACTAATTTTAATATAAGTTCATATATTCTAGTATATTATGATGGGACACCTGTATATTTATCATAATTACGGAAATCATTTTCTATTACTAGTGATGTAAATAATTTTCACTCTAATAAAACATTTTTTTAGAAATATGTATCGTAGACATGAATCAATAATTACTCAAGTAACCAAATCAAATGATGATGTTCCAGTGATAATCACGAGGTTAGCAAGTATAGAAAAAAACGATATAGAATACTATTTCTTCTCGCAAGTTCTCCGAATTCGTGTTCTACAGGTAAGTTATTTAAATATATTTATATTGTTATTATTTGTGTAAATTATTTTAAAGTGCATACTTATTCCAAGTTTTGTGGGGTATTCTAATGATTCATATCCAGTAAAAAGTCCATTTGAAATCGTTTGCATAGATAATAAATTTTGCTTGAAAATGAAGTATTTAATAACATGAAATTGAAGTTAAAAGTGGAAATTAAAATACTAAGAATTTAATTTATTTGACTAACATTAAAATGAATAAATGTAGATATCAGTTTATTGTTAAATATAGAAAGCTGTTTACAAGTGCTAAAATTAATATTTGTTCGTTTGCTCAGACTTCTTTTAAAATATTCTTTTGAAATTGATCAAAATTTATATTGTGTTTTATTGTAACAAGTATATTGTTTGCAAATATCAATTTCGTAAATGCTTTAAATATTGTTATCTTCCAACGATAAACGTAAGATTTATTATCCAATTTTACTTTAAAAATAATAAATAAATCATTGTACATTAATAATTATCATGACACATTTTAGTATTTACATTCGTACACTTTTTGATGTTTTGTTTATCTTTAAAATTTATAGACTATCATTTTTTTGTAAATTTAATATTTTATAATTCTATTAAAAGTGTTAACTAAAGGCAGAAAAAATGATTTGATTTAATATATAAATAATCTTTCTATCGAGGGAAAATTCAAATTGCTTTCATATGTATTTAATATAATATTTAAATTGCATTGTAATTTGATAATATGAATACAAAAATTAATTGTGTAAATTATTTTTACAATAAATACAAAATGATCTGTTGATCGTGAAGTACTTAATTATTAGTAAAATAAATACATAATTGAAAAAATGTAGGTTATTGTAATAATTATTCTTTTAGTTACGTATATTTCTTAATTTATCAGATATTAATTTCTTATTAGTGTCATCTCAAAGAAATTATAGGGATGGCAGCTTTATATTTGTTAATTGCAACATACATATTTAACTAGCTTTAATTTCTTTAGTTCATAATCTTCAATCTTACTTTCACGAACAACATTGCTCTTTTATTCGTATTATTCGTATAGTCAGTTACTGACCAAGTACTGACTTAGTATTCAGTTAGGAATTAAGTGGAGAACTAAAAGAAAAAAAATATTTCAGATCCGCTTACAGAATTCACTGGAAATTGTAGGAAAATATATTCTATGTCCCATCCAAAACTGATAAGTGTTAAGCAACATGAGTAAAGGAGAAATGTTACTAATAAAAGTAGGATCAAAACTTTTTACTAAAAAGAGAGCTAACTTGATCGTAATGTAGATATTACTATTATTTTATATTTGGATTGAAACTTGGACCTATTTCACAGTTAGGTTTTATTGAATATTAGACATTTTCGATTAGATCATTTTTGGTGTTTTGACATATTGTTAGGCAAAATCAGTCCATTAAGAAAAAATGGTTAAGGACACAAAAAAAACCCAGTATTCTAAAACCAATACTACTTTAACTTTGCATCAAAGATAAAAGTTTCATATTACATTGTAAAAAAAAATTATGTTGAAAGAATCGTTGTTTTGTATTTTTACTAGTTAGCATTGTATTATTTTAAGTGTAATGATAATTTTTTGTATGAATTATTTTTTATTTTACAACGGTACAGATATACTTACACAATTTTTAAAATATAACATCAAAAAAAACTATTTGTCGCTTGTATGATGTCTATTAATTTGTCGCAGTTAAAATTATGTATAATTTAAAAAAGTTTTACTTTGTAGTAGTTTATCATTTTCTTTTTAAAATTAGGATACAAAAAATATATATTTAATATACACAATAAACAAAACAAAAATAATTTTTCTAAATATTATGCTATTTATAACATTACATTATGTATACGTAATGTAATAATACTACTATTGCTTTAAACCGGAATTTTATAAATTAATGTTGATATTTTGTATGTTTTTTTAAATTTAATTAATTAATAGCAATACAATATTGAAGAAAAATTCAGCTCAATAGTATAAATAAAAAAATGTTGTTTGACTAAATAATGTAAGCAGCAATTTGTTTTCTGTGTGGAAAAATTACTATTGAATACAAGAATCTTTAGTGCTTGAGAACTATTATTGAGTTTTACACTACCGTTGATTTGGCGTATTGTCAGTCATATTTAATATAATTGGTATAATAGTTGTAGGGACTCGATTTAAATGGTATGTGAATATGTTTACGCGAAAATTCTCTCCTTCGTATTTAGTTGATATAATTCTTACTGGAACACCTTTGAAAAGTAGGGATGTGTAATATAAATTCACAAGTCGGAAATTGCGATATTCATGTATAGTTATGAAAATATTCATTTTTTTACCTAATCTCCATAATTTCTAAAATATTAATTACATTGTATTTCATTAGTGTTACATTTTAATGCTCAATCACTATTTTACTTTATTGGTAATCTATTATGTTAAGTTCAAAGGCAGTTCTATTGGTGCGTGTGTATGTAGGGGGAAAGGAAGTGAGTCACTCCCAATCCAAAATGACCACTCAGCAATTTTGTACTGAGTCAGTAAACATAAAGCATCATTTATTACGAAAATACAAGAAATTAAAAGGTCTAAACGATATTTTCAATNTGTATATGAAGCGCTTAGAAATTAAAAGGTCTAAACGATATTTTCAATTTTGAAATAATGGAGTTTGTATTTATTATTATCTATTTAACAACATTAAAAAAATTAATTTAATTTTGACTAATGTGGATGTTTTTATTGTTTATTTTTCAAAATTTGTCCTCCCAAATAAAACTTAATATATCAACAGATTGACTGTATTCCTAACTGTAGTAAATCAAAAAGAGAGTTAAAACGATTAGGTGGTATCGTGGTTGTAGAGTCCGTGGGTTTAAAATAATAAAGACAAACAGATATAAAGAAATAAATGCAGATTCTCTTTGTTGAGGAATAAAAACTAATAATTGGTAAGCACCTTTAATAGGACACTGAGGCAACGAGGCGGTAATCCGACCCACGAACCCAGTCGAAGTGTCTATTAATACAAATTAGGTTTTTGCACTCTTTTCAGGCACGGGGCGATAATCCGACCCTCGAGACCTTGTAATGTGTATATGTATAAAGTGCCAACAAATTAGTAAAATTACTAACGGGAGTATTGATCTATTGCTTTATCGTTCTTTACTCAGATTAATAATTCTAAATGATTGGGATAATATAAATTAACTTACTTTGTATTTGAATTAATACTTATTGATTTGAGTGCTGATTCAGTTAGCGTAGAAATATCTAATTTAAAAATTTCGCTTAAGAATACCAATATTCGCGCCAATGAAGATATTAAGGATATATTTTTTAATAGAATTTTTTAATACAAATGACGAATTTATAATAAGCACAAAAGTATGCCGACGACAACACGGTGCCGTGGCTTAATAAAAGGTATATGAAAGTGTTGAATACTTAAGAGTGCAAGATGATATTTAACATGTAATCGAATATAACTCTCTGTTTTTCGTGAGGCCATTTGGCTTTTTATTGTCTATTGAATAACATCAACCTAGGGATTTTGTCGTCGGCGCTTTTTAGTGAATATATTTTAATTGCAATAAAATTAAACATTACATGATTATTGATTTAAGTCAAGACACATGGTTAATGAAAATTGAATTGGAACGTATACAATTAATAAGACAAAGTGTACAGTAATGTAATATTATGACAGATAAATTATTTGTTTGTATACAATTAATATATAATACATATTATATATTTTTCATTGATAAATGTCAGATGTGCAATGCAAAGCATTGGGCATATTATAACATAACCTTGGCTTGAAATCCCTTTTAAAAATATTATAAATATAATATTTAAAAACAATTAAGCTATAAAATCCTCTAAATAATAAAATAAAACGTTAAATGATCATTATTCCAAATTTCAAAATCTTGAACCATTCTTTTTATGCAATTTCATTATAATTACTTCGTTTCTGCCCTTATTTACTATCTCATATACATATCCAATGTCGGCTCGTGGCTTGGAAGATCGCACACCCTACTAAAATTAATTAAAAGTAGAAAATTAATTGTATATTTTTAATTCTACATTTTTATTAAAAATGCAAATTTGTAAAAAGTAAAATAATTATAATACATTTGTCGTGTGCGAACATTAAAGTTGTTTCTCTAAGTAAATGTGGGTACGCATACACACACGAATAATGTTTGGACTACCAGCAGCATTGTCCATGTGGTAAAATACTATTAAGAGTAATTTATTTTTAGAATTAACTGCTTGTCGTTATAGGTTGCTGTAATAATATAATTGCTATTATTATTATCTTCATTTCTATTTTCTACTGCGATCTTTAAAATAATAATACGTGTATTGTGTTTTATTTTATTATATTTAATTTGACTATATTTTATGCCTATGACCAGTGGTATTATATTTAAAGTCGCATCCCCACCACTAGCACCCCGAGCCACCACTGTATTTATATATAATATTTTATCTACACTTCTATGATGTTTGTAATATTTCACGAATCATAAGTTTTAAATGCATTACATAATTTTTTGCGCGAAGTCCGAAAATTATGTCTACTACTTTTTCTGATAATTTAAGTTTTAAGTTATAAGAGTCTTCTGAGTGTTAAAATGATAGAAATTTCTATTTAAAATTATTTTTATGACTTTAGAAGAAATATTACGTGTTAGTTCCCCCGAGATAGACTTATGACTAAAAGTTAAACTTAGTGAGCAATACTGCATTTACGAGTAAATTGTTTAATATACACTTTTGAGTTAACTCTTATTGTACATTTCTTAAAAAACGTTGATATGGCGATTTGTCATCCATATTTGATATGATTGGTGTAATAGTTGAAGGGACCCGATTTGTATCGGATGTGAATATATTTATCTAAAATTTGCAAGCATTAAAAAAATTAAGGGCTATCTGTAATAAAATAAAAACAATAGATTTTAAACAACCACCCAAATATGCATTATAATAACATATTTAGCTGTTGTTATTAAAGTGATTGACTTGATTTTTTTTTTTTTAAGTGTATAAATATTCTATTTTTTTTTTAGATTGTTTGTGGAATATTAGCAGTAGTCATGGGAAGTGTGGCTTGCATCGAAGAAAAAGGATCTTTTGCAAATTTAGGATTAGGGATCCCAGCAGGACTTAGTACTGTACTCGCTGCGGGTAAGTTTTATATTATTGTCTGAACTTTAGAAAATGTCAAATTAATGCGCACTAAAAAAATATACATAGAGAATGATCGATTAAGGAAAAAAACATTCATTTTCTTTAAAACTATTGAAAATGTTTAATTTTCTCAAAAGAAAAGTTTGTTTAATTCAAAAAACTGTATAATAATATTTAGTTAAATTAATATTTTTTTAAATTTTAGGGTTTAAAAACTTAAACTTTAATTTTATTTAATAGGATCCTATTTTTTTAGTTTAATGATACGATAGAAAACATTTTTTTTTATTCGACGAACCGTTCTGTCGTTTTAATAATATATGTTAAAGTTTAGTGATTTTTGACCAAATTTCTATGTATAGTCTTTTGTTTAGCAGACGTGTATGTTAAAAAGCATTTTTTCATGCTATCAGATAGCACAAGTTTTTTTGGCGATTCTTGTTAGATTCCAGATTTGTCATTTACCATGGCATGAATAAATAACAATAATAATGTATAGGCCATTGAAATATATTACTACTGCTTCCTGTATTATTAAAACTATATTAATGATAAATTTCTATTTTGAACAGAAATCGTTAAACAACTTTAAAACACAAATAATTGATCGGATAAAAAATATTATAAGAATAAAATTGTTTGAAATTTTTTTTTTGTGTTATATCATCAAACTAAAAATAGGAGTTGCTATTAAATAAAATTATTTAACTGCATATTATTGTACAATTTTTTGGATAAAACTATTTTTTCTTTGCAAAATTTTTAATAGTTTCGAAGATAATTAGTGTCTTATCCTTGATTGATTGATTACACAAGATATTTTTTTACTATCCCCTCCAAAATATATATTTACCATATATCTATTTTCATTATAGAAGTTCTATCTCCCATAACCCTCTGTGACAACACTCAAGCTGACTATAAATTAAAGGTTAAAATATTTTTTATGCTTTAAGACTACAATATTATTATTGTAGTATTATATTATTATAATCTGTAACATTTTTTTAATTTATTAAAAAAATTGAACTTTATTTTATATGTTTATTACTACTCAATATTAAACATCGTTATTTATTATTAAGAAAATGATAGAATAAAACGCTATCTGTTCATGTTAAATGTTGGTTATAAGCACAATTTTTTCCATCAATCTAAAAAAAATATATGTAATTTGTAAAATATTATTTTACTGTTTTCAAAAAGTATTAGAAAATCGTATGGAAGTTCTTTAATTAATATTTTTAATATAACTAATAAATAAAATTATATTTTTAAATAGTTATTTTTTATGTTATTAAATAATTTTATAAATGTATAAATATTTTTGTGTTAATATTTTATAGAATTAAAAATTAATGACATGACATTCTATATCATAAATTAAATTTTTTGGTGTTCAAATTTGATTACATTATTCTTAATAATAGTTTTACAAACTAAATCATTTATTTAATTTTTTGTAAGAGCTCTTTCATTTTTTAGTTATAGTGTGAAATAGTTAAGTACATTAGTATAAACAAAAATGTTTTTTTTATTTTAAAAGTTAAGTTAAAAATAACTTTTCAATGTGATGATATTTTACCACAATTATTTTTTCAGATAAAAACCTCATATTTTTACAATTAAATCAATAAAACGGTTAAATTTACTAATAAAAAAAAATAATGAGTTTAATAAATCAAAAGTAATAAAACAATATTACCATAAGTATTATTAAAAAACTTTTAACGAACTGTTTATTGTGAAATGGCTTTTTTTTTTTTAATTGAATTAATCTAACAATTTATTTCACAATATCATTAAAATAAATTGATTTTTTTTTTAAGCAAAACTTTATGTTATTCTTTGTATTTTCTTTTTGATAATTTATCAATTATCATATTACATTTAAATCAATCAAAATATATAAATACTAAAAATCATTATATATAAATGTATTATATCATTGACGCTATTAATTATCTTAATTAAATAGGAAACAATTGTCTCCCTATTGGTTCATTTAATGATCAAAAGTAAACCATTACAAAAATTTTCTAAATTTTTCCTTTATTTTAGAATTAGTACTATTTTAGCTTCGATGCTTAGCTGTAAAGCTATTGGTTGTACTCTGTCATATTTTTTTTTTTTGTGTCCTTATACCTGGCTAATGAACTACTAAAAAACCAATTTTTGACAAAACGTATCTAATTGAAGCTGGCAGCGCCAAAATATTGAAAAATTTCTCACAAACCCAGCACTAAAAGAAAAATATTTAAAAAAATTACAATCTGTATAAAACAGTGTTGATTTTTTAGTTTTCATTTTATATTGAAATGTTTAAAAAATAAATAAATTGATTTTGAATTTTTATTGATAATATTTCATACAATTACCTTTACTTACTATTTTTGAATATTTAATCATTAATCAAAGTACAGTACGAACTTAATCAAATCAATTTTTTTTCAGTTGCGGTAATGTTCCAAAAATTTGCCTTTTTTAATCTTGCATCAAGTTAAATCTAATTTTGAGATCTCAATTTTTAGAGCTATAGGTCATTGAAGACAAAAAACATGTAAGATTCAGTAAAAATTGTCGATTTTGATGGTTTTTGCATAGCAACGGAATGTCTACATCATTCAAAATTAAATCAAATTTAAGTTTTTTTTATGCACTATGCGATTCCAAAAACCATCGGACAACTTATCTTATATAAATAATCGGCATCTTAAGTCGATAATTGAGTAATTTTTAGTAGAAATCATAGTTTATTAAAGCACTCTGTTTGATTAACATACATATTAAAATAAAATGTTTAGTGGTAATATTTAAGACAAGTGTCTTACTCTCAATATATTTTTTTGAAAATCCTATAATTCATGTTATTAATGCAAGAGTCAAAATCCTTAAGGACATAAAGAAAAGGCCAGTAACCGGTTAGAATGGAGAATTAGAGTTGTAAACCAATCTTTGGGTTGATAAAAAAAAAAAAATCATTAATAAGAGAGTACTAGAAGGGAATATTAAATTTTTTTTCTTAGAATGTTCCAAAAAATTTGCCTTTTTTAATTTTTTTTGTATACGGATTAAAGAATTTTACAACAGTGATTTTAATAACTATTAAATATCAATCAATACTAATATGAAAAAATACTTCAATTTCTTTTTTCTGGATACCTACTGTACTTTAATTTTATTTAACGGCTATAGTTAGATAAATTGTTCATATAATTTAGATTTTATTAAATATAGTTAAATATGTTAGGATTCTTTTAAACAAATATTTGATGATAAGTTCTTTTTTGTAATTCTATAAACTTTGTATAACTTTAATATAAAACTAATGTGTTTATAATAAGATGAATATTAAATTATTACATAAAATTTTACATCATTCTTAATGCTTTTATGTAAAAAATCCAATATTTTATCTTTATATTTCTTTGTAAAGAAGATACATATTTTAAGTTTGCAAGGTAATACTTAAAGGTATTATTGACGTAAATGATAGTTACGAACAAATCAAATTAACATTATTTCAGAAAAGTATTAATCCAATCTTCCTTCTCTCGAAAAAAATAGAAATTTTCTATAAACTTTCTCTGTGGACTTTCGCCTTAAAGCGTTTAATGATAATGATGTTAATTATTGTCACATTTCAATCTATACTGATCATCACTATGCCATTACGAAAGTACTGTGTTTTTTATTTTCGTAAAGTTTTTCTTTAAATTTAAATCAATAATAATTATTAATAAATATATATACAGTACATTTTTTTATCTATTTGCAAATTAATTATAATTTGATTTAAACCGAAAATAATATTTATCATATTGTTTATTAAATTATTTCTAGGGGTAAGCTATAATTCATTATTATCATTATTAATAAGTAATTGTGAACGTACTTAAAGTGTTTAAAAATTATTAAATATAATTTAAAATAATTTATAAGACATTAATTTGAGTGATTAAGATACCTTAAGTTCAACAGGATGATTAATTAATCGATAATCACTAGATTTCTTCTAACATAATAATAATATTGAAAAAAATTGAGCTTATTTAAATAGTATTTATTTCTTGAATTTTAAAAGGTTAGATACTTTTTATGTCTATCCCTCATCCCTTATAAGAGTGCTAACTTATTTATTTTATTATTAAAATGTTAATTTACATATTTTTTCATATAGAAGCTATTTTCATCGTATTATTTTTAGTACATTGTAAAGAAACGTATAATGAAATAATTTAAAATACAGTATTGAAAACTTAAAACATTAATATAACTAAATAAACAGTTTATTAGGTTTACTAATGAAAATGTACTTTTATTAACATTTCGTGGATGTTTGAATTAAAAATGAAACGCTTAGAAGCTTTTTCATTACGCTTGAACGAATTTTCTGTAACTTGATGTACGTTTTACAAAAATTTAATAAATTTAATAATGCAAAAATATTTTATACATTTTGAATATAACAATTTGAATTATATAGTACTTTTATTGCAACATTTTTAGTTAAATATGTTTCTCTAATTTTAATTATATTGGTTTCTAATTGAATTATAAGTAATGGTTCTTTTACGATAATCATTTTTTACTTTATTCCACAATTGAAAATATATTGGTTATTCTTAGAATTTTTTATAATTTTTTTTCCTGTATATTTATGTCTTTAATTAGTTGACCTTGGCATCAAAGAACATTTTTACACATTGTTTATGTAAAAGGATCATTAAATATAATATGTTCTTAGTTATGTACTATAATTTAAAATTTACATCTATAATTAAAAACTGTAATGTAAATCTTAAATTGTAATATAAGTTTAGTATATTTTATCTATGTTTGCATATACCTGAACAAATCAACATTTGATGTGTATTTTTACCCAATTCAAATTTATTAATATAAAATTTATTTAAAAGTTTATTAAGTCATCAATAATTCGACGATTAAAATTATAATGATGAAATAATTGATAAAAAATATTAGCTTACCTCCTCAATCGTTTTAATGACAAGTAAAATAAAATCATTGTTCTAAAATACTTTAATATATATTGATGACGGTTTTGTTTTTCAAATTTAACTTTATTTAACACACAGAATCTTTATAAAATCTAAATTATTTTATAATAACATAAAAACTATTCCATAAAATATGTTTTTACATATTTTATAGTATATCTCTAAAAGTCTACGAGTTTTTTTTTTTAATTTAACCTATCCTTATAATATTTTTTCTAAACATTTTTTTATACATTTTCAATAAATTATTGATTTTATGCTATTTTTGGGTTAATTGAAGAGCTCAATAAATAAACCTCCATTCTTTTTTCCATAATCATGTTTCGGTAGTTCTTAATTAAGATTAAAACGTTGAATATATCTAAGAAAAAAATGTGAGAATAAATAATTAGAATAACACAGGATCTTTTAAGTTATTGGTAAGTAAGAACACATGTTAAAAATAATTAGTTTTTGCAGTTTCCTGAAAAATGATTAAAAATGGAATTATCTTTTTTTGCAATTATCTTTTGTTTTTAACTTTGATGTATAATATCATGTTATTATTAAAAATAAGATTTAATGATATTTTATAATTTAAATATACTATTAAAACCGTGACAATAATACAGATATTTTTGGTATTTTGGTTTGTAGTTGCACGAATTTAAATATCTGTTTGAGAAGATAATCATAGAAGCATAATTTATTTATGTTTTTCGAAAGTTTTGTTTTTCTGAAATCTCGGTTTTGGCTGTGTCCATTAATCTCATTGTGTTTTAATGCTCATAAAATATAGCTTAAGTGTCTATAACTTCTATTATTCAAATAAGCTTTAAAAAAAAGTATGAACTCAAAGTTTTTCGATTGAACTTTATTAGCTAGGATCAAAGGTTCAAAATATCTACGATCGTATTACGTGCTATTGTCAAATTCTTTTACTATCACCAATTCAAAGGAAGTTCATGTCTATCGTATAATATGGTTCGTATTGCTTTCTTCGACTCTGTACTTTTAATTGATTTTTAGGGTAATGATAGTTTATAGTACCCTTAATATATTACATTTCTTTAGCTATCAAGGGTTGTGAATTGTGTCAATATAGAATGTTTATCTATGTGTTTTATAATAGCATGCAATAGTTAAGGCGATTAGGATAAATGGACATGCATTTAATGTGTATTATAAAGAACGGTTTTATAAAGTATCTTTAGAGCCACGTAACGTTTGTAAATTTGTTGTATCGTGTGTGTCGTGATTAATCTTCCAACAACGATTTTAAATTAAAATACTTATCAGAAAATACCTACCCAAATCCACTCCAAAGACATAAATTAATCCCAAAATTAGTAGAATTTTTAAAATACAATAAAATTGAATAACTGATGTATATACATTTTATTTAGTTTAAATATATGTATTATTTTAATATGTATATTTTATGTATATGTATTATTTTTTAAAAATCAAAATTCATTATACAAAATTTAGGTTTTGCCAACTATGTGTAAAATCATTACTTTTTATTTACGCTACTTTTTCTAAACGATTTTTAATTTATGAGTTGATTATGTAAAACTAAAACATATCGAATCGTATTGGTTTTTTTATAAAATAAATTTATGATCCAAAGAATAATGTGATGGTCATTACATGAAAACAAATTATCATAGAACAATCAATATAAAACTGTTTAAGCTCGAACAAATCTAAAACCAAATATTTATTACTGAGATAAAATTTGATTTGTAAGGTTGCTTTTGTTAACTTACCATTGAATTGGACAGCTGCCCGAAAGTGTAAAATTATTCAGCCAGTAGTATGTGCTGTCAATTAGTAAAAGGTTTCGTTGAATTAACTGTTATGGTTAGGGTTTTGCAAGAGGATGTGTTTTTGACATTAGTATTTAGTTGATGAAAATTTAAGTTAACATAGCTATTTCTACATCTCATATTGTCTTCTTATGGTCTGAATCAGTTGTGTGTTTTATCTAAATATTTTTTTTTAAATAATTTAAGTATTCTTAGAGTGGTAGGTTTAAAAAAAAATATCTTGATATAATAACAAAAACACCCTACATCCTGATTTTTAATCCTTTTTTACTCAATTTCAACGAAAAATAGTTTTTTGAATAGAAAGTTTTCATGCAGTTTAATTTAAATTATTAAGTAAAATTTAATATATAATTTATGTAAACACAGAGAGAGGCTAAATTCACTATAATTCATAGTACCAAGATTCATTTGTCATTTATAGTTGTTTATTTCTACATAGAAAATAAAGAAATTCTATGCTATATTTTAAGGAGCAGTAATTATAGTTTTCAGATTTGGAAAGTTAATATTTTTCTTGCCTGTTTATGTTACATTGAAAGTAGTAATCAATTGATTTAATTAATAAGTTTTGATATTTTCATAAGAATGCATAAATTAAAATGTATCATATGCTCTGAATAACAAAATATTATTATTTTCTATTATGATAATTTTCACGATAAATTAGATTTCATAAAAAACTTTAGGTGTACTTTAAGTATAATGTATGTACCTAATCCATTATTGTGTCAACCTAAAAATGAAAGACATATTTTCTTCGTAACTTTTAACAAAAAATTGGCTTTGTTGAGTAATTGATTTTCTGGAAGTATAATGTTTGAATTTTATAGAAAATCATGAGACAATAACATATAGTAGTCCATCTTAGATTTTATTCTAGCATTAGACCAAACTATAAATTTAATAATGTTTGATGCTTATTTCATTGTTTTTATTGATCAACTTAGAATACTACTGTACAATATAAATCCACAGTATACATGTTAACATCGCAAAATTGCAATGTGTTTTACTTGTTTTAATCTAAAATATTGGTAGTATTCTAACTTCACATTTCTAAATATATATCAATTAATTTTCATCTTAATAATTTTCATTGAAGTAAAATATATATTTTTAGAATAATTTTACGAATAACACACAAACTATATAGTTCTTTAGTATTTAACTTATAAATTTTATATATTAATTTTTTTTCACACCATTTACATAAACAGTTATTTGCATTTTTAGTTTTATAATTTAATGTTTATTCTATAGCTATTAAAAGTACATACGGAAATATACGTCTGAACGTACTGAAATAAAAGTCAGCTTCCGAAGAATCTGAATTTTATCTAGTTGAACCAATAGCAGCGAAGAGATCTGAAAACTTCTAACTAATGTCACATTAAATCTTTTGAAGTGTAATACAATATGAAAACAAAATTGCCCCGACGACTGTTCTTCTATAAGAAATCAACCATCAAATGAAATATATGACATTATATACAAATGTATATATGCAAATAATTTAACAAGTTTTTTTATATTACTATATTTTTTAAAATTTATTTTTATTTTAATATGAAAATTTAGCACAGTTTTTTTTCATTTATGACATCTATACTTATTGTTACATTTACGAAAATCAATTTAAGATCCGAAATAGATACGGAACATAAATGTAATTTAATTGTACACTAAGTTTTCTACGTATTATTTCCTCATCTACGTTGGCTGTGTCCTCAAATTTTTTTTGTTGTTTGTTATGATATATTTTTTTTTCGTTGTTTTATCTCTTAATTTAACACAATAAGAATGGACGTACAAATAATCATTTATATATTTCAAATTCCAAATCATATAAACCAGTCATTTTACAATTTCGTAAAATAAGAAATATCATTCCATATTTTTTATCACAACAAAGCAAAGCCATTATTTATTTTTGCAATTTTAAAAGTTTTTTACAAAATTAAATATAATTGTATGATATTAATTATTGTGTCTAGTCTCACCTCTTTTTTAATTTTATTCAATATAAATTAAATGCGATATTTTACCTTCAAATGGTTCATTTAAAATACAAATGTATAAGTTAAATACTTACTAAAAAAATGACAGTAAACTTTTCACATTTGTATGTCATGGGCACATTTTATCATTTTAAGTGAAGTTTTTATATACAACATGAATTAGGTTGAAAAATGATGAAAATTATTATACGAAATAATTGGATTAAAATTCTCGTTAAAATAATAAATACTAGCATATTAACTTTTAACATTAAACAACCTTAATCAATAGATTCGGTAACCGCGTTTAGTTTAATTGCATAGCAGTAGAGGTTTGGCCAATATATCATATGGTTTGTCATAGAAGAAGAGAATGATAATGAAAATGTTGAATAATGCATGGGTACAAGAAAAGGTGAATGCAAGAGTAATCAAGCTCAGATCCCTTTAAACTACTGTACGTTTGTCTGAAACAATAATAAAACACTTATTTATAGTCCTTTTTGAAGCATTTCGTAATAATATAAAGCACTGGTTTCTGGATCAAACTAATTATACATATCATTTTTTATTAACGTTTAAAATTCTATGTAACTAGTAACTTACTAGTAGTAAAAAATCATTAAAATAATTTAATATTTCAAAAAATAACTATGAAAATAAAATTTAATGTTAACATTTTCAGGTTGGAGTATACACACAAGTCGATTGTTCAGTGGTTATCATGATACCCTTATGACATCGTCTGGTGGTTCAAGATTGTATATATTTCGATTATTAGGACCAACTATTAGGTCTGCAATAGTAGTCGGATTATTTTGGTTGGTTGCTTTGATACTAAATGCGATGCTATTTACAAGAGCAGGTCGAACACTGACTGCCTACGAAACATCCCTAAGGTAAATATTGAATTGAATTGTAATCCAGTGAAACAAACGAAAAAATATTCACCTGTAAATTTAAAAATGTATGAGTTTGGTACAGTTTATTGAAAAAATCGACATATAAGCACTATAATTAAATAAGCTTCTGATACAAACGGTCGATGATTAAGTTTAACGGGAAGTTGAAAGTTCCATTCCAATTCAATATAAGTGATAAGTTTGTATTCATACATCACGTAATTCAAACTAAACCATCTTACTATCTGTTCATAATATTTTCGACGTTTTATCTTCTGATCAATACAAGTTATGCACATTTTCTCGATCCAAACCTGCAGTATCTACATAATTGAAGGATCTAATCTTTAACGAAAAGTACTTCGCTCGTTTAATTTTACACTTGGTAAACTTTTCAAATTTATAAGTTTGTGATTTCTTTTTGTACAATGAAAGCATTCAGTATTTCATTGTTGAATCAAAAACAGTAAAGAGAATAAATTGATAAATTTTATTACAGAATAGCAATATTTACTGTTCGTTACTGATTTTATAAAAAGTAGAAAATAATTTCTTAAAACAAGAATCATATTGTGCACGACTCTGTTGCCAAAGGTAAAACAACGTGATCGGCGTTTTAAATCAAATAACGTAGAAAAAACGTGAATTTCGACCGCGTGTTGTTAATATATAACGTGAAAACGCAGCTGAAAGGTTATTTTAAATGCAAAAGGAGCACGTAGCAACTCATATTTTCCGCTGTGAAACTGAATATCAAATGACAGATAATCTTGCGTCGAAAAAAAAAACTTTAAATGATAAGCAAAAATAAAACTTAAACTGAACTAAACAATTTAATTTGCTTTGTTTAACTATGTTAATGTAAAAATAATACTGACAAGTAGATAGTATTATATGAAAAGTCGTGTAGTCCATAGTAATAAATCTTAGAGTACGATTGGTTCTAGTAGACCAAGAGTTAAGTAAACATTTTAATAAATTTGAGCTATCATTATAGTTAAGGACAATATACACTAAAACTCTGCAACTGAGAAATAATCTAAATGAATATTAAAAAAATACGGGGTAAAAGTTAGTATTAAATAAGTTTTAACAAAAAAATAAATAAATAACTGTTTAACCAGGTATTTTACTGAAAATAATAACAAAGTATATTAAATTTAGTAATTTTTCAATTGAATATCATTGTTTTTAATTATAATGATTAGAAAAAAAAGTGAGGAATAATTTTTAGCCTTGATGCGAAGCTGAGAAGGTATTGATTTTGCAATGATTTGTATATTTTTTGTCTGTTGTCACTTTTTCTCAGCTCTCGCCGGACCCATTTCTTACAATGACACGTCAAATGATTACAAGTCGTATCTAATTGAAGACATTGCTCTTAAAAATCGAAAACGATTTTCTATTTAATGATATTCATTTCAAACTTTCAATCTGAGTTAAAAAAAAATTATGGAAAAAAGTTCAACCTTTTTAAATTATAAACTTTTGTAAAAATTAACTCCATAGAACCAAAAAAATTAGTTAAAATTTTCACGAATTATTTCTAACGTATTATAAATCAAAAGTATGAAAAAATTTAATTTTTAATATTTTTTTATATGTAAGTACTCGTTGTTTAATAATTAATAATAATTTTACTAAGAAGCGATAGAAAAAATCTAATTGAAGATTTGAATTTGGCGTAAAAATGAATTTAGAAAAGGATATTTTTATTACAGATTTACATCGAAGGGTTTCTTATGATAGTGATTTTAATAAGTATAGATTATACTTGTCCAACTATGCTACGTTACACTGTGTCTCGACCTCTTTATGCTACTCTTAATTTCTTAAAAATTATAATTTATCAATAAATAAGTCAATAACAAAAAAAATTGGATTAAAAATTAAAAGATTAAATTAAAATTTCGATGTTAAAAAAAATTCAAAATTCATAAACTTAAGAATGAAATTGAAGTATTATTTAATATATGATAATATACAGTGCTAGTTCCACAGTGATAGCTTATTTGGATATGTAGGCTCTAGAACATAAGGTGTTTTTTCATGTTTTAGCTTCGATGCGAAGCTGAGAAGGTATTAATTTTACCATGATGTTTTTATTTTTTTTTTTATTTATTTATTTTTTTTTTTGTGTCTGTCACTACTTTTTCTCAGCTCTCACTGGACCGATTTCTTTTAACAATACGTCAAAAGATCACAAATTGTATCTAGTTGAAGACATTACCCTTAAAAATTAAAAAATTTTCCCTCGTTCCCCGCAAATGGGGGAAATATCCAAAAAAATTACAAATTTAAAAATCGACAAATTTTGTCATTTTTTTCACTTTTTTTTCTTAAAACTTCCATAACTTTTTCAAAAATCAACAAATCAACATAATTTTTTTTTAAACTAAAACCTTAGATATTTTCCTTTCATTTGATATAATTTTTTTGAAAATTTAACACTTAACCTGCTCATGGGGGGGGATTTAAAATTGCAACTTTTTTACAAAAACTAACTTTTTCAACTTAATTTTTGAAAATGTTCCGGAAATACTGCGTCCTTTAAACATATATCAAATTAAAGCTTATTTTATGTACTACTAAATGAAAAAAAAAAATTTGTCCCGACGACCTATCTTCTATGCGCAAAAGGCTACCGTATTTAAAAATATGCTATTTTTTATTAAAATTCTAGGTTTTGTATTTTATTTTATTTTAAAATATTTTATTAGGGGAATAAACTGACTTTCATGAATATTATATAATTTCATTGACATAGAATAAAGTTCATAAGACATATGATATTATACTTATTAACATTTTTTACTTTTTTAAAGTCGAAAAAGTAATTTTTAAATTTGAGTTAGCTTAAATAGCCAATTTTATCATGCAACAAAAATCAACGAATAGTTGCCGAATGGGTAACACCTTGATCTTTAACGCCTAGGGTACGAGGTTCAAATCCGTTTGTGGCTTCTAAAATTTTGCATTTTTTTTTTGAGTTAGAATAGAATTTTCAAATCATTTGATATTTATCTCATTTAGATTCAATAATTTCAATAAATATAAAGGATCTTATCACTATAGTCTCCCCTCGTGAGAAGAAATTGATATTCATGTTAATATTATTTTACTATGTGGTTCTTTTTCTGGCTACGATTTATTTTGCCAACCCTCACTAGACCTACTTTTTTCAACGATACGTCAAATGATTCATTTAAGTTTATGATATTTAAGTTAATGATTAGTTTAAGTTATTACTCTTAAAAATCAAAAAAATATTCCTTATTCAAATAAAAAGTAGCTTAACTAGATTTGTCCATACAAACAATTAAAATCATTAATTTTTAATATTCTTAAATTATTTATTGTCGAATTAAATTTGATATGATAAAAGTATTCAACTACAAAAGTAAATAATTTTACTTTATAATTTATTAATTTTTTAACTCTATTTCTGTGTGCTACTACCAGTCTATAATATGCCAAATTTTTTAGTAATATTTTGCTATATAAATCATAAATTTAAAAAAAAAATGATTTTTAGTTTCACCTGAAGTTAACGATGGAGTTTTACAATTATAATTATATTTTTGATAATATGCTCAATTGAGTAAATCTTTTTAACTACTTTGGTTTGATTGGTTCATTTAATTAAAGTAAATTATTAAAATTAATTAAGTTCTGAATATTTCAATTGCAGAATTTTTTTAAACACCAAAAGTTATTAGGATATGATTACTATTCTTTCTATTTCAGTTATCTATTACGATAAAAATGTAAAAAAATCGAATTTTTCTGACAAATGTACTGTAATTAGTAATTATAAAATTTCCAGATTGCATATTAATCTTAAAAATTTCATTTTTTTCAATTTAATAATGTCAATTTCAAACTTGCAAGTTGAACTATAAGTTATGGTAACAAATTCATTTTTTAGCTTCGATGCGAAGCTGAGAAGGTATTTTTCATTAAAACTTTCACTTTAAAAGACAATAAAAAATAGGTTCAAAATGATTACCTTTAACATATTAAAAATCAAAATCAGTATTAATTTAATACAATTTTTTTTGTTCTTAATTATTTTTTTTTATATGTAAATACTTATTTTTTAATAATAAGTAATAATATTAAAACTTAGAAGTAATAGAAAAAGTTTAATTGCACATTTGAAAACATCACGAAAAGTTTATTTAGAAAAGTATATTTTTTTTCTGATGAAAGTTCCTTTTGTTTAGTGTATTTATTCATAAGTAACAAAATTTTTTTATTAAAAAGTATTGCATAAATTCCTTTAAATTTGTATACGCATTAAAAGTATATGAATATACAACTCCTTTTTATTTTTATAATATCTCCGTAAAAATTACAATATTATATTATTGAATACCACTTTCATACTCAATTTAATTACTGTAATTATTATGTATTCATATATTATAGTTATAAATCGGGGTAAAATTAAGGGAATAAGTGTTATTGTTGTTTTTGAAATAATCTACCAATTTCATTTTTTTCTATTTAATAATATTTATTTCAAACTTGCAAGTTGAGTTAAAAGTTATGGTAATAAATTCATTTTTTTTTTATTAAAACTTTCACTTTAAAGAACAAAAAGAAGTAGGTTCAAAATGATTACTTTTAACATATTAAAAATCAATAATAATTTGAAAATAATTAATTATAAAAATTATATAATATATAATTAAAATAATTACTAATCTGGATATAATTAAGGAAATAGGAGTTGATGTTGGGTTGGGTTGGTTACATTTTTAACTTTATAATGCTATAACTCATTGAAAAGTGTACGAATCAACACAATTTTTTTATGAGAAATAATATTTTTTAATAATCCCTTTTTCATTCGACATACTTTATCTTAATCAGGGTATTAATAAGAAACTAGCAGATAATGTAGCTTTTGTAATTATCCACCAATTTCTTAGAATTAAACATTATCTACTGATTTGCATCGAAGCGTTTCTTATGATAGTGATTTTAATCACTGTCAGATTAAATCTATACTGGACCCAACTATGCAACATCCCCACTATGCCGCGACCCCACTGTGCTGGGTTTTTAAATATAAAAACTGTGCTATCTGTTAAAAAAACAATAAAAAAAAATTATTTTTGTTTTGAATGATCTTTAAGAAGTCTATAATAAAAATATAAAAAAATTCTGAACTATAGCCATAGACACAAATATGATTTCATATGGAATGACCCTAAGACAACTATTAGTAAAGTATAGGGAAAAGAAGAAAAAGCTATGTATGGTATACAGGGTGGCCCACCACTCACTGACAACTTAAATAACTTTTGATCCAGTTAATATTTTTAGCTGATTTTTTTTTTAAATATTAGTTAGACGTTAGGTCTATAGCTATATCTCAATAATTAATTTTTTTACATTTTATTAAAAATATTAATTATTTTTAAATTTTAAATAAAATGTAAAAAAAAAATCTAAGATAGCTATTTTGTAGAGTAGAATTTAAGAAAAATTTTAGTAAAAAAATATNCTATTTTGTAGAGTAGAATTTAACTCAAATTTAAAAATTACTTTTTCGACATTAAAAAAGTAAAAATTTTTTAATAAATTTAATTTCTTATGTCTTATGAACTTTTTTCTATGTCAATTAAATTATATAATATTGATGAAAGTCAGTGTATTCCCTTAATAAGATATTTTAAGATAAAATAAAATACAAAACCCAGAATTTTAATAAAAAAGTAGCATATTTTTGAATACGGTAGCCATTAGCGCATAGGGACAAATTTTTTTTTTCATTTTATAGTACATAAAATAAGCTTTATTTTGATATATTTTTATAGGATGCAGTATTTCCGGAACATTTTCAAAAATTAAGTTGAAAAAGTTAGTTTTTGTAAAAAAGGTGCTATTTTAAAAAGTTATGGAAGTTTTAAGTGAAAAAAATGACAAAATTCATCGATTTTTAAATTTGTAATTGTTTTGGAGATTTACCCCATTTGCGGGAACGAAAGAAATTTTTTCAATTTTTAAGGGTAATGTCTTCAACTAGATATGATTTGTGATCTTTTGGTGTATTGTTGAAAGAAATCGGTCCAGTGAGAGCTGAGAAAAAGTGGCAACAGACATAAAAAAAAAACACATCATGGTAAAACCAATACCTTCTCAGCTTCGCATCGAAGCTAAAAAACTTAGTGTAATTATTAAATTAAATACTACTATAAGATACCTAAGAACATTTTAAACTGAATGTGCAATAAATCACTGTATTGAATTTGAAACTTATTAGACATTCAAATACTTAAAGACATTGTCAAGGATACAATGACCTTAGCTTCGCATCGAAGCTAAAATTCGTTTAATATTTGCTGCATAATGATTTTTTAAATTACAATAGTATATGTTTTTTGATGACTTTGAGGACATAGGTATATAAATATAAACTCGTTAATCAAAATTAATTGCATATG